GCGTGCCAAGCGCATCGTCTCAGTCGCTCATCAAGAGAGCGAATGGCGATGTCATTCAAATCGGAGGTGTCGCATCTCCTGGAGCAGAGTTCCTGCGCGAGAAACGGACATGGCAGGGTCTCGGAAGCGACTTTGAGATTGCGTATCAAGAAGACGGGCACGCCGAGGAGTCAGCGAGGATAGAGGAAGGTAGGAGAGGCGTGGCAAGGGGGTATGCCGTCGGGGACAGCGACGCTCGGCGTTGATGGATAGGATGAAATATACCCACCGACGTCTGTCTAAATGATTGTTTAACGCTCTCCACGTTGCAATAAGCAAGACGTGGACCCTACATGCGGCCCTGCATTGAAAAAGCAAGGCGGTGATGATTTGTTCTCTCGTCACGCGAGCAGGCTGGCGCTGATCGATTCGCTTGCGGCGGCGCGCCCACTAGACACCAAGCTACGGCCAATCAAGGCCAAGGCAGACACGACATCTAAAGTGGAGCTTCAGCATCTCTTGCCTTCATCATGAACAACACCAGCCCAACATCCAGATGTGATTCCAAAGCACTCTTAACTCACTCTTCTGCATGACTTTCCCATGCTCGCTCCACCGCGAAGACGCTCTGGTCGGCCGTGACTTGACTCTCCGTATGCAGCTCCACCACATCGACGGAAGCAGTATGACTGGCTCCATACATCACGAATGCCTTCTCGACGAGGCGACGACATACCCTCCGACGAGCGAGGAGGAAACACGCGTGCACATTGAAGATCAAGCTGCGCAAGACGATGTGGAGGAAATACGTCCTATATCCTTGTTCGAGACCATCTTCACCACTTATCCTCCAATTCTAGACTCGCTCCTCTCTCAACTCCCAACGCGCTCGCTCTTCGACCTCCTACACACCTCGCGCCATCTTCGATGCTTCCTCGAACAATACCCGCTCGCATGGAAGACGCTGTCATTCCGCTTGCCACAACCTGCACTGTTGCTCACATCCCCAGGGGTGGAGACGCCAGATGGAAGAGAGAGGCAAAGCAGACAGCAATTCCTCAACGGCTTGCTAGCGCATGTTGTGCTACCGTTTGCGACTCGCCTTACGCACCTTGATCTCTGCAATACCGCCGTTGATGGCATAGCGTTATGCTCCAACGTCTGGAACCCGCGCAAACACATCCTCAAACACCTCTCTGTCCGCGGCTGCAAGAATGTCTCTATCAAATACCATATCGTCCCGTTCTTGCAACACAATAGCCCCCAGTACTCGCCATGGATCAAAAAGAAGGACTTGGCACTCACGAGCCTCTACACCTACCGATGTCGGCATCACAGACGGCGGCCTTACCTTCCTTCTTCGCTGATACGGCGTGACTCTGATTCGGAGCCAACACACGAGTTGATCGAAATATGTCATATGATGGGCATATGGACTGACACGGCGTGGTGTCCTACACCTGGTGCAAGATGTTTTAGGAGGAAGGACTACCACGGAAACCGTGCAGCGCCAGGAACAGCGGAGGTATGGGTACCTTTCGATAGACTCTGGCGGTCGCAGAACCGGATTGGACCAGTTGACCACTCTGCGCGACAAGATTCAAATGATGGACGACTGTGGGAGAGCTCAGAGGCTGGCCACGACGGAGAGCCATTATATGGCGTCTCGTCAAGCTTCCAAGGAGAGGGCAAGGATGTGCCGGCACATCTACGCTCAAGTCACAAAACTTTTGTGGAGAGTGTCAAATGCGATCAGTGTGGTGACACGATCGTGGAGCGCTGCGAGACGTGCAGTGTGAGGATGCATTGCATGGGCTGCAGAAAGACATTATGCGCAAGTTGCGCTTTCAACCGGCCGATACCGAGGAAACGACCCAAGCTCAGGAATTTCCAGCAATTGCTCATAGGCCTGTCAGACGATGGGATGACGGCCGAGGTACCTGCGTCAGTAGCGGCACAATTCCGGCATCGTGATCAGAGGAGAAGGAACAGATTCTGGTGGGCTCCCGGTGCATATCGGTCACCAAATCTCATGAATGAATCATCCGAAGAGAGCGATTCAGATGATTCTTCAGTCGATATCCCTGCCGGTCACGCCGCGAATGGTCCCACGCAGCTCAAGCTCAATATGCACTGGTGCTGCCTCGAGCCCATCTTCTCCGGTGGTGGCGGTATTGCCTTCCTCGGCCCAGGTCTTGGTGGAAGAGGCGCGGAGAAGGTTCGTGCAGCACCATTGCCGCGAGACAGGAAATACGCAGACCCGGACTTCATACCGCCTGTGCCGAGTTCGGATAACCTTCGTGAGCTCAAGAACCAGACGTTGTACGAAACCGTGCTCGGCGAAGATGTCGACATATTGCCGTACCTGAAGCAGGATAACGTGGAGTTGCAGACACTGACGTGCCCGAGGAGCCTGTGTCAAGACTGTTACAAGATGTGCAGATGGAAGGTGAACTGCAGAGGCTGCAGGAGGGCATTATGCAAAGAGCATGATTTCAGGGGGCTCAAGGTCAGGAAGTGCGGGTATCGCGATCTGAGCATGGAGAGGGAGTGGGTGCGGAGTAGAACTCCGCCAAAGGAACTTAAGATACCTGCATTCAAGGGATCTACGGCATTGCACTCAAAGTTGCTGAGCTTATATCACTCTGAGAGTGCGGACGAGGGAGATATGGATCGCCAATTGTCCCAGGACTCTGCTTCAACAGCACTAGAGTCCGTCGACCTCTCTTCTTCAATCTCAACGCTCGAACCTAAATCGACGAGTCCTTTCGCGGCGATTACAGCGAAGCAACGCTCACACAGCTTTTCCGGTCTACGGCCGCGCACGACGATAACATCCTGGCCGGCTTCAATAAATTTCCCTGCCGACCGTATTCCTCTCCCAGGCAGCGCTCGACATCCTGTTCAATGGGAGGGCTGTGGTTCATACTTCTGCCAGGCATTTAGACCAGTTGGTGATTCAAGACCTCGATGCGGCGCTGGCATGAAAGTATGCACGACGTGCGGGGTGTGGGTTTGTGAGGTTCGTATATCACCGTTCTCCCATGAAGCAGTCCTTGTATAGATACTTATTTTTGTCTAGTTTTGCATACGCGACTCACCGACCTGCCCCTGCGCCTTCTGTACCAGCAACTACTATTGTCCGCACTGCGCTGAACTACCACTAAATAAAGCGAAATGCCGGAAAGAAGAGGAGAGGCAAGCGAGGATCGCGGCCGAGAAAGCACGAAAGCAGCTAGGCGAAATGCAAGCCGAGTTTGCAAAACGCGCTGACATCGCTGCAGAGAGTGTGAAAGAGTTCTTCGATGGCGTCGAGGATGAGGAGGACGAGGATGAGGAGGACGAGGATGAGGTGGATCAACTTATTGCTATTCCCGATCCGATTCCAGGTCCAGTGGTTTTAGGGCCCGGAGATGAAATCAGTCATGATGGCGCTGGGGATGTAGTACTAGAGGAGTAGGAGATGATTATCTCACGATGGCGACGCTGGCTGCGATTCTAAAGACGATGGCGCGCAATTTGTTACGATACCAATGTATGGGCTTCGCTGGGTTTGCAAGAGATAGAGAGAAGCCGCAAGGGACGGGAATAGGCAAGTACTTGCTTCGTTTTTGTTTTGTCCACTCACGATCTGGTCGTGAGCACTGCATGTGTAAAATGTAGTGTGGCGCTCGATTTTGCTCTGTTCTAGCATCTCACTAGGAAATTGTATATCAGCTACTCTGTACTGACACAGTCGTTCTCACTCACCGTTGCGAGGACATCCAAATTCGTAGCCTCGAGAGTGACCACAGGAAGCGCAATCTCCCAGACATCATGTGTCATTTGGATGAAATTAAACGAGCACGCATGCCTTCCGAACTTCACGGGCGCGATGCGGCTACGCGCGGCAAGTTCACTTGCTGCCTGGACTCTTCACCATTGTTGTTGTTTCACCATTCACAAACATTCAAATTTCTCTATGTATATAAGCCCCGCCGCTCTCTTCTCTCCTCCTTCTCTCCTTGTCGACCAATAGCAAACAACACCTCAAGACATCCTCCAATCTCAAGCTTTCTCCCGCTACCAACACCCCAAACACCAAAGAGACCTCCCTCCGCCTCTCCTCTCTCTCACACAATGGCGTCCCTCGACCCTACCGCACCAGAGTTTGTCCCGGTGGCTTTTGGCCACCAATTCTACATCATCGAGCGCGCATGCACTGCGCTCCTCGAAGCGCAGGAGAACCCTCGTGTCGGCGGGCACTGGTACAACAATATTTGGTACACGTGCCGAGGGGGCAAGAAGAAGCGCAAGGGTCTGTATTCTCATATTACCGCGCGCAAACACATACACTCTCACTTTATGCAGAGAAGGCCACCAAGAAGGCTCAGTAGGCGGATTGGGGGGAGGGGAGAGGGGCGTTGAGGGGTTGGGTTGATGCTGCGCGCTGGCGCGCTGGTCGCGGACGAAACGGATCCTGTAGAGAGAAATGATGCTTGTTTGCCGCTTCGATGGCGGTAGGATAATGGATTCTTTGAATTCGCGCATATTTCCGTGTTTTTAATTCGAGTGAAAGAGTGGACTCCGTCGTGAATTGAAATGAAGCTCGGCAACCATGAATTCGCTGGGTGATTTGGCACACATTTATAGCTTAAAAATCCACGGTGTACATTGCTGAAGTTCAAACTATCGTGCATATTTGAGTGCGCAAAGCGCGAGAGGCGATGGATAGAAGTGTGATGCGAAAAGCATGAGGCTCCATGATCCGTAGACGTGATTTCTCTAAGCCAATAATGCAAGAACTTCGTGGGCTTGCTGGCGTAGGAGTCGATGGGGGGATAGCACCCCAAGGCTTCTCAAATTTGCTGCTCCGAGCCGGTTCAATGCAAAAATTTCGGTGAAAACCACTTCGTGTGAAAGGAAATTTCGAATTTTTCTGAAAGCAAACAGGTTCGGAAAGGGGATTGGGGTGGAGAAATCGGGCATCTAGATTTTAGTCTATATATTATTAACAAACTTTTCAAAAGTTCCGAAACTTGGCCCGATTGGCACAATTGGTCAGCGCGTAAGACTTTTATCGCATCAGCGAGAGATCTTAAGGTTGGGAGTTCGAGCCTCCCATCGGGCGGTTTCTTTTTATCTTTTTGCATTCTTGCCTCAGTTTTATCTTTTGCCTCTATCTTCTTTAGCTCCCGGGCCTTTAATAGTGATTATTTTTGATCTGTATTTGGAGATGCACTCTTGCGTAGAGGCGGTGCGGGTGGGAAAAAAAATCCCACCAAGAGCTACGGTATCACAAAACTTTCAATGTCCATGTATCCCACGATCTGCTATGAATTGTCGCAGCTGAAACAATGATATTTCAGAAACTAAGTTTTCGCTTTCATTGATAAGATAAACGACACAGGAGACTGTTTCCATCACTTCCTCTGCGACGCACTGGTGTCGGGTTGAAGTTGTGATAGAGCATTCTCAAATGCTTCATTCATCTTATAATCTTTTCATGTCATCGAGGAGATCAGATTGTATTGCAGAGGTTACTGTGGTCAGTCTATACTACGCCTTCATTTTCCCTGCTGAACTGGCCGTCCATATTTAACGCTGCCGCCCTATCACCATCCACAGAATTTAATCTCTCGTGCCCGATACGCTCCTGAACCGTCTGTTGCCCCCAACAAGTCTTTGTCCCTCATTTACTTTATGTTCATTAATTCTGCCTTCCCGTGAACTCTGTGAACGTTGGAAATTTACATCTATTCTCCCATTCGCACTGTACCACTTCATGCAGTCTAAGAGCAGCGCAAGAGCGATAGCACAATCCTACACCGATATGAGGACTGTTCCTGTCAATGGGAATATTCCTTCAAACATCAGTTCCCATCTCCCGGCATACGAGTCTGCAAATCTCCCCGTGGAACTTGATCAGTTCATTACGAGAATTGAGATCGACTCATTAGAGGAGCAAGGCCGACAAGCAGAAGCAATCGCCGCAAAGCACCGCTACGAAGCGCGCACACACTGTCCTCTCTTACCAATAGAGCGCTCGCAGTTTCGCTCGGTCCTCTCGCCTATGCTCCCACCGTCGCGGCCTCCCACACCGCGTCCTCGCAGCAGACCCTTGACACCAGCCGACTCGCTCAAGAATGACCTGCCAAGCTATGAGGAGGCAATGAAAGAAAAGGAGGAAGCGAAAGCGAGGAGTAGGTCCGCAAAGAAGACGATTTTAGAATCCTGGAGGTTTATGTTCGATGCGCTCATGATAAGCTTGCCTTTGTTTCTATCTTGATTGCCTTTTCATAGCTCGGTGGGCTATTGGGCCTTGTTCACAGGTGAAGCAAGGAGTGGATCTGTTGAGCAGTGGATGACCGAATCGGATAGATTAGTGGAAATTACGGAAGGAGAGTGGAACGTCTTCAATAGAAGATGAAGTAGCTGGACTCTGCGACGCGGTTGAGTCGTTCGAGACAAGTTGCGGAAATTGGGACTGTATGAAGATCTCCTGGCCCACGGGGTGTCGGTTCAGAGAGGGCCTGAGGAGTTTAATGAAGATTCGATCGAATGGGAGTAGGGAGTGGGGTGGACAGGAAATTTCAACAAAGACAGACTATGACGAGAACCTCGACATTTCCTGCCGAAATCCGGCCGATGTTGCCTTTCTCTTCTCACTCGAGATGAAACCGAGCTCTGATTAGGCAGATTCCGATCATGTCCTTTTCATATGACTTTAATCCACTATGTAAACTCCTTATCCAATTCAGCTTTTATGTGACTTGAATCCCATCAATGGGAAGTGCCACCGGTCCTTTGCTGAGACCCCAATAGCAGACACCGCTACCTCCGCACTCTCCACCGAGTTGATCTCCAACTTTCATAGCCGACTGTCCGGAAATTGTCACATTGATTGGCTGGCCATCCAATGTTACAGCAGAAGAGTTGTGCTGATATTTGATCTTACGATAAACCCGCAACTCGAAGTTTTCGAGAGGATTTCCGCCATCAGGAACTGTAATGCTAAACCAGAATGCCGAGTCGCCACAAGGAACGTGGTCGAAGAGGTGAGAATCGCTGTCACTGCAGAGCCAAATCTTCGTGCAGACCGTCTGCTTCTTGTCGTTAAGGTCAACGACTGTGAAGTTTATGAAAGGTTGGCACGGCTGGCCCGGCCGTCCTGAGGGCCCGTAGGTGCTAATTGAAGTGGCATTTAAGGGCAAAAAGGCTTCCTTTTCGACGCCGACCACCCTCAATGGGATGGGAGCCGGATTGGAGAGCATCCCATCTGTTTTTCCGCAGACACCAGAGTATGGAGGGCCGCAGGAAATGCAGGTAAGGTAGTTAGTTGGTGCCGAGGAACCGGCGTTCGCGGTCACATTGGCAGACAGGAGAGTGAGAGAGGTCAAAGAGCTATGTGTGTGGTCAGAGCAGTGAAGTGCAGAGTGAATTGATAACATCATAATCGGTTTCCACCTACCCTTGAGCGACCTGTGTCACTGCCACCTCAAGGACAAAGTTACACTCATTCCACTTATTGCTCTTCTGGAAGCGCCACTTCACACGACTGTCTTTGCAGCTCAACCATGTCGTGGGATACGCCTCTCCCACCCAGCTACCAGAGCACTCGGTCTGCGAGAATGCCTTGTCGTTGAAGCTTTTCGGGAGGTACTGGATAGTGAAGTTCATGGTGCTATTGAAGGCCTTGTTAGGTGGCCAAGAGCCGTCGGTGATGCCCGAGTTCGAACCCATGAAGTGGTTGGTCAAAGTCGGGATTTGCCATGTGTCCGCGAGGGCAAGCTGGAGAAGAAGAAGGCAGGTTATGAGGAAATTGAGGCTCAAGAGCGAAGACATTGATGATGTAGTGGTTGAGGCCTAAGTCGACGTGACAGGTAACATCAAGTGGTAACGTGGATGTGAAAGCAGATATGAGGACTGTTGTAGAAGAAATGCAGATTTACAGTTGAGTATTTATACCTAAGTAAGATGCCTTGACTTGTCGCACCGAATTCGGGTCCCTCTTGCCAATATATAATCGTAGGTAACTGTAGATACGACAGCTCCCAAGGTTGTACTTCGCGAGTTCGAGCTGTGTTGAGAGGATTGATCAAGCGTGACGCTGCTGTCAATATTCACCCAAAGCTTTCAGAAAGTATGGCCTGAGTGTCAGACTCACTTATATAGCTGAAGAACAGTTGACGACATTAATATGGCACCATGTTTCTGTGCCCAGCTTACGCTGCAGAGCAATTCCGAGGATGCTTTTCGTCGCGGATTTGAGCCGCGGGTAGCGATTGGTTACCTTTGCACACGAACCCAAGCACAACAACGCCAATGTCACGCAAAAATTGTATTTTTGGACATTGTGGTAATACAGCAGTGAAAGCTATGGCCCGCCCAGTCGTAGGCAAAAAGCCATTTGGACTTCGATTGGTCCGCTTACAGAGCAGTCAAAACCGCTCATACCCATCTTGACCACAGCAAAGGTAGAGCCGAGTACAAGCACATTTCACCATCAAGACCATACGACATATGCAGCTCGTCGAAATCATAATCATGCTCAAGCAATCCACACGAATGAGACTCCTACGCCATTCCTCTGATTCTCCTTTGAACTGCGACAACATTCGCAACATTGACCTCATCCGTCTTCTCTGGCATATACTCTCCGCTCTCAATAATGTGCACTCTCATGCGCGGGTGATACACGAGATTTTGTAGAAGCTTCGGCGTGATCAAGAAGTACTGCGATGTGGCTTCTTCGCATGCGATCTCCACCATTCGCTCGTGAACGACACGCTCGTTTCTCGGATCCATCCCTTGATTGATTTCATCGACGACCCGGAATGGAGCGCGGGACAGCGATTGTAGCGCCATGAGGTAGAAAATCGTGGAGACGGCGCGTTCACCACCGGACTGGCGATGGGAAGTGAGAAGTGACAGCGGTTCGTTTTCCCTAGTTGAAGCTGTTAGCATAAGGCGGCTTATCTACCATTAATGCTATGCATAGCTTACCGAAACTTGACTTGGATGCGAATACTCCACTCCTCAAAATTCTCGGCTTTGTAAACCTCGACTTGGCCAGCACAGCCAATCTTTGTGAAGTTATAGCCGAATGCATCGCTGATCTTGAGGACGAGCGCGTCAAGCTCTGGCTCCCATTTCTCCCTGACTTCGCGGATCTTGCCTGTGAGCTGCTCTATTTCAACGTCAATGCGTCGCAGCTTCTCTTCAAGTTTCTCGATGGTCTTTGCTCGATCCTCGAATCGGCGGAGAATTCTTGGGTCACCATCGTGAAGGACTGATAGCCTGGCATCTGCTGCATCGATTTTGCCTTCCAATTCTGCAGAAGTCATGTCGTTGTCGAGCTCTTGGTGAAATGCTTTCTCAGCATCTGTAGCCTCAGCCATCATTCTTTTGACTTGCTTTACGAACGCTTTTGCATCTTCTCTCTTGCTCGTCAAGGTATCCTTGAGTTGTTTCACTTCATTTTGAAGAGCGGCCAACGTCTCTTTGACCGAGGCACTCCGCTCCTGGAGCGTCTCGACGTCAGAGGTGGCTTCGATCAACCAGAGCTCTGCCTCAAATAGATCCTCGTGGAATTTGCGGAGCATTTCGACAGAATTCTAGGAGGAGTTAGAAGGTTTCGCAAGATGAAGTCTAAAGGACGTACAGCGTAGTCAATGGCATATTGACCCTTATCGAGGATAGCTTTGTCCATATCGGTGGAATTCTCCTCCAGCCTAGCTTTTATGTCTTCTTGTCGGGTTTTGATATGGTCAAGCCTTTGTTGATTTTGACCTTTGGAAAATTAGTAGAGTTTTCCCGAACAGATATTCATGGCCTACTAAGCGTAATGGGCAGGCTTCTGAACTCGCTGATTGCCTGCTGCTTATCTCCTTTCTCTTTCTCGAGACGTCCCTGGTGGTGATATCAGTGTCAACACGAAATAATAGGAGGGAATGCAATGACCTTTTCCTGTGTGATGTTTCTTTGTTCGGCTTGTAATTTTGCCAGTTCTTCTTTCAATCTATCCATCTCGCCTCGTAGCTCTACTAGGGCGTCCTTGGCTTCATCTCTCCGCTGTCTCATGTGGTGATCGCCATCTACATTGACGGGTTGATTTGTCCACACTTGGAG